CCCACTCTGTCTCCCCTGGCTCCCTCTCCCTCCCTGTGTTCTTTCCTTGTAAGTTGTGACAGGTGTTCTTGTCTGTCCCTAATGTCATCTGCTCTGACTGGGTGCAGACACAGCTTTACCCTGTGCATTTGGATAAAGTTATGAAGGCCAAGGTCCCAAGTCTAGAAGCCCAGTTCCTCAATTTTTGTCAGGCTGAATGACAAGCACAGAAAGGGATCAAAGAGCTTAGAGAGTCCTCACACTTCCTGGATTGACGCTGACCAATGAAACACGGGTTCTCCAGGACTGAAATCAGTACTGAGAGTGGAGGAATCTGTCCACACCGCAAAGGTACACAAAGAGGAAAGGTTAGAGTGACCACGAGCACTGTAGCTTGGCACTCTCAAATCTAGTTGCTGAGGATATCTGGTGACAGAGACCAAGCCCCTGCTGCAGGAGTCTGTCCCCAAGCTTGAACTTTGCTGTTTCGTCCAGCAGGTGTCTACAGCACAGTAGGCTTCAAGCCCCTGGCTGAGTTTCATTGGAACAGCTCTTAGGTAAGTGAGCCATACTTCCTGGCAGCATCCTCCATCTCAACATCTTTAGCCCTCTTTTTCTCCATGCTGACCCAGAATTCACTCTGCTGGACCTGGGATGAGGTGGGGGGCTTCCAGTGCAACCCATGGACCTAGAGAGGAACCTGGTGGCTTTGTCTCCTTTCTGGGAGCCTTGGCACTTTCATAGCCTCTTCACAGATGCTGAGGGCTTGGAAGCTTTGGGAGTATGGGATGAGAGTGAAGGCCCTCATTCTGCTTGAGTCGGGGTACTTACAGATCCCTGATAGAGGAAGTCTGGGTACTGAGGGTCAAGGTGGGGCCAGTAGGGCAGGGAGAAGATTATGCACAGGTCAGGTCTGTGTATGCCAAGCCCTTCTGAGGGAGCTCTATCTTCCTGGAGACCCAACTCTGTGGGGAGTTAGGGGAAATTTGTCATGAGGCAGGGAGGAACTGCATCCCAGAACTAAAGATCTAAGAACCTGAAAGCGCTGAAGGGTCTTTATCTAGAGTGAGGGCATTAAGCTCCCAAGCGGGAGGCAAAGCATCATCCTAGCAGGGAATGGTCCAGGGTTATTTCTTTCCCCAAGAAACAGCTTCTTTCACTACTATGCCCTACCCCCAACTCTGTGCCTTTCTTTCAACCTGCACTGATTCCAGAACTAGGGGCATGGGTCTGAATGCCATTCATTTCCTGCCAAAGACATCAGCAGCCAAAGTCCTGAGTTCAGCTCAGAGAGAATTTTCTCCAATGTACACTCTGAAGAATTTTAAAAGAAACAACTAGTGTTTAAACCAGTGCAAATCTTGTGGGAGGAGTTTCATTCAGGCACTAGAAATGGTGGGCTCCAGAGTCCAGCTTAGTAGTTAAGGACTGTTTTCCAGATAGATGCCCAGAGGAGAGGGTTTAAATCATAGAAAATTTTCATAGTCACAAAAGTTGAGGTGATATAGCCCTGGTCCCATACAAACTCAAAAGATTCTCTATAAGATGATATAACTACAATTCCCCTGCGTTCCAAATTTACCAAGGACATGAACATTCTCCTTCAGGATTTTGGGACCCAGTTGTGGTTCCTGTCTCCTTTAGATATTGGCAAGTGAACCAGATGTGTTGGCTTCAGGCAGGGTCTGATTCAGGGGTGCTGAAAGGGAGGGGCTGGGAGGAAATGAGGAACAGGTACTGCTCAGCAGTGCATAGAACAGGGTGGGACTTCCGCGTCTAACTGGGAAGAAACGAAACTATGTTTTCCCCTGGCCTTCTTATACTTTCGGTTTTCTTTTTCTCTGGTGTGTTGGTCTCCTCCCTTCCTATATCGCCACCCCAATACCTACCCTGCAAGCAGACTGTAACAGACAGAATCTTACTAAAATATAGCACAGGTTGTCTTCAAACTCAGCTTTGCAAGTGCTGAGATGATAGGCAACCACATCTTCCCCACTCCCCTACCCAGTTCCCCACTTCCCCTTGCTGTGAGGGTGAAGCTATCTTTTGGCAGGCCCTCAGGGAAAATGGTCCAAAGTTTGGGGTAGCCCTCCCAAGGAGGAAATAGGAGCCAGGCAACATGAACTCACCATAATGAGGAGAAGAAAGATCAGCACAACACAATATGCACAGCATCGTCACACTGAGACTGTTGTGGAGCTTTGAACTCAACACAGATGGCTGTGTCTGCCTCGCCCCATTTGTGTTCCCTGGCCAGGAGTCAGGACTTTGGTGGCCTCAGCCTCACTTCCTCTGAAATGTCTTGGTCAGGTTCAAAAGCTTTCTCTCGCCCATCCCCACCCCCCCCCATGGCCTCTTTGAATGAAGTTCTGTCAAGAAGGCACCTTTGAGTTCCTAGGCAACCCTGAGGGATGCTGTACATGGTGTGTTCTAGGTTTGCAGTCACAGAGTGTTCTCCTAAAGGCATTAGATGGAGCCTGGAGCCCTGTAGACTTTCCTGAGATAAATCCGATAAAGACTGATGCCATCCTCCAGGGAAGGATTTGCTAGTTCCTCAGCTGTCTCATCACTTGGACAGTTAGCCTAACGTCAGAAGCATCTCTCTCCGTGCACACAGATGTATGAGCTCAGATGATGCTTAGCTAGTTTACACACCTGAGGCAGAAGGCCCGGTGTGGCATCATGGTTTAGCCTAAATCTTTATTTCCAGAAATTTCAACTCCTTCATCACATGAGTTTGCTCCTTCAGAGTTCCACTCTAAACTTTCTGGAGTCTGGCTCCATTCTGTCTACCTGTTCTGGCTTCCCACTCCATTCTAGCAGGTCTTTATAGATGCCTGAACTAGACCGTGTATAGGGACTCCATGAGGGAACTCTTGGGCTTAGTGAAAAATCAGATGTGACTAGCATGCCCAAGCCTCAGTCACTCTGAACCATGATACTAGTGTAGTTACAGTAACAAGGCACTCCTTTATTAACAAACACATAGATACTACATATGGTATTATGCTGCAGGATAGAGTAGTTTTAAAAAGAGTTAATGATATTATACAAAACTGACTTGAATAATATGCGATCCCATGGGAAGCAAGATTCCAAATTTTCTCTTTCAGTTTTTGTTAGGATGTCAAACCATGATGAGTTCATGTTCATAAAATGTTGACTCTGTATAATATTTTACTTTATTATACATTGGGGATTAACCAAGTGTGCAGTACTTATCAGGCTAGTGTCCTTTCACTGAGCCCTCCCCCATCCTCAAGTGTGGTTTTATAATGCTGTTACATATGACACAATCATCCACCCATAACAATAGGGGGAAGAACTTATAGATGCAAATTAAAACAAATACCAGAATATTAACTTCAGTGCTAGGGAGAAGAATGTTTCTCTGGTCACAGTTATTCAGGAGACTAAGGCAGGAGGATTGCTTAGGAGTTAGAGCCCACACTAGGCAGGAAGAAAGAAAGACAGCCCTCCTGAGTTCTCTTTCTTCCACAGAAATGTTAAAAATCCAGAAACCCACTGAATTAAAAGTCAGAGGTTGATGGCAACAATATGTATACCCAATCAAGATGAAGCCACATTCAAAGCTGGGAGATCTCAGGCTAGAAAGATGGCTGAGTGGTTAAGAGCACTGGCTGGCTGCTCTTGCAGAGGATGGGGGATCTGTTCCCAGCACCCACCTGCAGGCTAACATCCTGTCTCAGACGATCTGAATCTGTCTTCTGTGAACACCACACGCGCAGTAACAGATACACATGTATGCAAAACACCCATATGTATACAATAAAAATGAATAAGATCTTAAGCCAATAGCAACAACAAAAATAGTTAAAAAAAAATGTCACATTCTTTTAGTTCTCTGTCTGTAGGGAAAATGTACCCTGATGGTTCTTAAAAGGAAAACACCAGCAGGTGAGACTGAGGCGGCTGCCTGTGTCATTCCACCTGATATGACAAAGTGACATAGGCTTGGTGGGTTATAAATAATAAACATTTTGTTCTTGCAGTGTAGAGGGCAGAAGTAAAAAATGAAGATGCCATCATGGTCAGGATCTAGAGGCAATCTTGTTTTCTTTGAAGACTGCCAGTGTCTCACAGTGACATGATGTAGTGTTGGTGAGCTTAGCTATCTCCAGTACATTTATCAGAATCTTAGGACCATTAGATGATTCTACCTTCTTGACCTAGCAACTTCCCATAGGCATCATCACCACAAGAGTAGGAACACAACATGAATTTTGAAAGGTAGGAAACACTGGAGGCTAGTGATTCTGTTTTAACTATAAGAACCCCACCTCTCTGGACCACAACCCAGTCTGTACACTTCAGATCAATGGTCAAAGTTTGTGACTGAAATTTAGTGTCAGAAAGAAGATAATTCATCTGCTCTGTTGTTTTACTCTAGGTCCCCAAGGGCAATTTAGCCAAGAGACTCTCTATGAAAGTAGACAACTGATGAATGAACATCTGAGATTATTAAAAAAAAAAAGTATAGGTGGGTTTCCATAATAAACCTCTTCTTCTTAAAAAGCCCTGAAAACATAGGAAAATTGCCCTGCAGTTTAGTGAAAGAAGAGGCACAGAATTCAAGTTATATTATATTGAATTTTAGGAAGGAGATAAATCACTGATAAAATGAGGTTAAAATACAGAAGGATCATAATGATGCACAACAAAATACCTGAGAAATCAATACATATATACGTTATCATGGTCTAAAAATCTATTCCCAGATAACCTATTTCCACCACCACCACCACCACCACCACCACCACCCCGCAACTGCACACTGCTCCATACCATGAAACATCCAGCAAACAATTTTGCTGTTAGCTTCTCAGTGCAGAATTTCCTCTGTCCTATTCAACCTTATTCTAACAGCTGTCTGTCTTACAGGAAGAATTTCAGTTTGGGGACAGAATGGCTGCTGAGCAAATGGACATCACCATAGATCCTGAAAGCACCCCCTGAGCTGGTGGTTCTAAACCTAGGAAAATCACTCTTGGGGTAAAAAAAGTAAGGAGGAAACGAAGGTTTCTCCTAAGAAACAGAATACAAGGATTTTAAGAGCTGTGTGTGCTCTGCTGAATTCTAGAGGGGGCATGGTAAAGGCTCTTATTGAAAATGGGGACTATAATTTCAACAGTTATGGACTATGGAAAGATTTGGATACCTCTTTGAGGGCTATTTCGCCACTTGTTCAGAGATACCTAGATTTCAAGCAGGAAAGAGGCTACTTTTTCATCTCTGTGAAATCGTGGAGTCCGGATATCTCTGGTTTGCAGCTTGCCACCATTGCAACCAATTTGTACATAAGAAATGGGACCTCCTGTGCTCAAATGGACTTGCATACTGCTCTGCAATTCTTCAAAGACAAAGCCAACCCTGGACTAAGATCGCCAATAAAGAGGTTGCTTGACAAAATGCCTGGTGAAGATGTTTTAGAAGAACTCGGGCAAGAAGCTCTCTATGTTCAAGAAGAACTCCATGTGCAAGAGCTGGCTGCTGCTTTTTTTGACCAGACTATACTCACAGAAATGGCAAAATTCTCCTTTAGTGAATCCAAAAATGTTGAATATAAGTCATTTGGAACAGATAAGGTGGTACAACGAGTTAAAGAAGCTCTCCCTCGAATTGTCTCTGCATTTGCCAACACTGACGGAGGATATCTGTTTATTGGTTTGGATGAAGAGAAAAAGCAAATAATTGGTTTTAAAGCCAATGAGAATGATCTGGTGCATCTAGAGAGTGAAATAGAGAAGTATATCCAACGGCTGCCTGTCACTCACTTCTGTGAGGAGCAGGAGAAGATAAAGTACACATGCAAATTTATTCAAGTCCACAGACAGGGAACTGTGTGTTCATATGTCTGTGCGCTCAGAGTGGAGAGATTCTGCTGTGCTGTGTTCATTAAAAATCCTGATTCCTGGCATGTGGAAGATGGCTGTTTGAAGAGGTTTTACCACGGAGGAATGGGTCAAGCATCAGATGGCTAGCAGGTTAGAGTCAAGAAGGGAACTTAACATTTAGAATACAATTTGCTAGTTGCTAGTTGGAAGACTTTCTTTTGGGATTTGGAGCAAGGTCATTTGTCCTGACTTTACTCGGTGATCCACAGTGGAGCCCAGACGTCTCAACTGCTTCTGCCATTTACCCAGGGCATAGCTTCCTCTCACCCTGGATATTACCCAGCCACCTCTACTTGTGTGTAAAGAAAGCTCCCACATCTCCCCACTCGGGCTCCATCCCAAGCAGTAGGCATTTCTTCAGCCATCTTGCCTCCGTTGTTAGCTGATTCATCCCCACCCCTTTCCCGTTGACTTTTCTCCCTGAACCCTCTTCCCTTTCAGTCACGTTGTTAGACAATAGACAGCCCTAGAGTTTATTATAGAGAAATGGGCATTGCTGGTGTGTCAGGTTTGCAAAAGAGCCTCTAATGAGGCCAGATCAACACCAGGAACTCCGAATCTGCTCAGCTCCCAGCTGCTGCTGCCATCTCCTCCCATGCCTATCAGTGCTTCACCAGCCGCCATCTTCTGTTTTCCACAGCTTTTTCAATAAATAGATAAACAAAGAAAAGCCTCAACAATGTGCTCACAGTGGACAATCTTCTTTGTGAGAAACTGTCCAATGATTTTGGGCCCCATTAGCTCTAGGTCAGAGTTGAGAAAGTTTTGACTTTAAATGACAAGCATCCTACGGAAAATTCCAACTCCAGGGTCCAAAGCCAAGGCTGCCGGACTCCAAAGTCCATGTCATCCTCTGTGCCTCTCTGCCCACAGCACAATGAGTGCCATGCAGCTCCATGTTGACAGTAATTGCCTGATTTACGTTGAGAAGAAGGAATACACTTATAGTATCTTGTATCAACTAAGATTATTCCTCTTCGGTACTAAAACCTTTATTTAAAGCCTAATGTTTACTCAAGTGAGTTAAATAGCAGGAGATGTTCAGAAAAATGCATTATATACACTAAGAAATTTAAAAATGTAATTGTCACCAAAAAATTCTATAGGACTGCACTACAGAAAAATTAACAAGTAGAGAACCATAAAAGAAGACCCATTTTTATTCTCTCTGATACAACAGAATGAGCCACAGTTGTTTTTTACTTTATTTGTCTCTGTATCCAGATGCATTTTGGCTGAGTTGTCATCATAGGCACACTCCATCTGCTGCCCATTTGGGCTGATGTTCCACAGCCCCTTCCCACTCTGCAGTTTCCCACATGGCAGACAGAGCATCTTCCAGGTCACAGCCTAGTTACAGCAGGTCCTTGGTGCCTATGAGCAGGGAGGGGCTGGTAGTGCAGCATGTCCTCTGTGTCCTACTGACTTCCTGCCACAGCCTGAGCTTAGGCTGTTGGCAGAGGAAGAGGGTGTGGGTTAATATTTCACTTCATGAAGTCTTAAAGCCCAGGGCAAGGGAGGGTTCCAGCCCTTCAGACAACTTGACCACAGAGCAAAGCAAGACAGAAGCATTCGTTTCCCATCATTTTCCCCATGGGTTACTGTGAGATAATGGCATGGGTGACAATTGTGTCTTCCATGAAGAGTGGCAGTTGCTGAGTACAGAATCTAGGAGATGTAAGCAGATCCTGTCTTGCCCAAAGTTACTGGACAGTGTTTGCATATGCCATCCCAATATGTGCTGTTTTGTTTGAGTTAACAGCAACTAAAAAACTGCAGATGCAAGAGAGACAATCTCATTCTTTCTCCTCCTGGAAACATGGGAATCTCGGAGAGGAGCATTCGGTAGCAGTCACCTTTCTCATTTATATTTCCTCTCTCGCCCCAGTCCCCCTTTGCCCCTTCCTTGGCATTCCCCCATCCCACATCCTTTCCCCTCCTCTTCTTATTCTCTTTCCCTCCTTTCCCTTCAGTCCTGGTCTTCCTTCCAAATAAATCTGGATTCTTCCTGAGAGAAATCACCCATATTTCTCATTCTAGGACTGGCTTATTTCACTCAACATAAGGATCTCAAGGTACAGCCTCTCTTTTCGGAAAGATGGTGTTGCTTCATTTTCATGTGGTTACATCAAACCTCATTGTAAACAAGGTCACAGTTCCTTTATCCATTCCACTGTTGATGGGCATCTGTCCTATTTCCACATCTGGTCTATTGTGAACAATTCTCCAGGTGACAGGGATGTGCCGGTGTTCCTGTCATCTACTGACTTGGATCCCTTCAGGCTTTGGCACAGGGTTAGTGCAGACTCATCCTGTGGTAGGTGTTTTGTTTTGTTTTAGTAATCTTCACACAGTTTTGTTTCATGATTGCACTAATTTACACATACAGCAAACTGTTATTATCCTCTATGGAGTGGATCAGGGCAAGAAGATGAAAAGAGATGATGATTTCTGTTGTTGTGATTCTAGTATCTTTTTAAAAAAAATGATTTTTATATTTCTTGACAATTTCATACATTGAACAATGCATCTTGAGCATATCAAACTCAAACTGCTCTTGAGCTGTGTCCTTCCCATCTTCCCCTCATCTCTTTAAAACATAATCCACTGAGACCAATAAGTGCTGCCTGCTTAAGCATGGGCAAGCTTGATCTATGATCAAAAATGATTGTCCCTTGTGCTGGACAGTTTTATGTCAACCTGACATCACAGCTAGTCATCTGAGAGGAGGAACCTTAATTAAGAAAATGTCTCCCCAAGATTGGCTGTCCGCTTTCCTTGTGGTGCATTTTCTTCATTTGTGATTGATGGTAGAGGGCCTGGAGGGCCTGGGTTCCACAACAAGCAGACTTAGCAGCCATGGGGAGCCAGCCAGGGAAGCAGCACTCCTCCATGGACTCTGCACCAGCTCCCTGCCTCCAGGTTCCTGCCCTGTTTGAATTCCTGTCCTAATTTCTTTCAATTACAGATTACAATGTGGAAGTGTAAGTCAAACAAACCCATTCCTCCCCAGTTTGCTTTGGTCATTGTAAGGATTCAGGCATTATGCTGGCCTGCCCTTCACCTGGCAGAATGCACTCAGGCGGTACTCTAGTTAGCCCAGGCTTCCATGAGTACATGAGTACATGCAGGTAGGTGTAAAGGGCCCCTTTAAAAGTCATTTAAGCTCTATCTGCCTGGCATGTTATTCCCTCCGCCTCAGTCACCCTCACCTGCCATGGAACTTGCTAAGCTCTTCCCCATGGTCCCTCACCTCGGGACACCCCACTCACTCACTTGGGACCCCCACATGGGACCACCCCCACCCTCCCCAGCCTTATTCCTACAACTGTAATAAAAGAACAACAGTCATAGTGTTTCATCACAGCAATAGAAACCCTACGACACTGCCTCCAGAAGCCATCAGTAGCCAATACCTTCTCTAGGATGGAGGCTCACAATTCCCCCCCCCATCCACGCTGAAGTGACTGGCTTGACCTTAAGCAGGTTTTAGGGAGATGCTCACAGTTGCTCTGGGCCCATGAGTACAGCAGCCTTGTTATGTCCAGAAATGGCATTTCACGGAACTGGAAGGGGGTACTTTAAAACATTTTCAGACTTTGACTCACTATGTAGCCCAGAATGACCTCCCGGTATGCAGCAATCCCATACCTCAGTTCCCCAGACTGCTGGGACTGAAGGAGAGAGCCTCCACCCAGGCGTGTTGGGGAGTTACTTTACATGTCCAATAATTCTGAGTTGCTCAAGAAGTGTTTTTCAGTAAGGAAATGGAAAAAGTAAACAAGATGAAAAGACAAAAGTGCTAGCGCCAACCAGAGAATCAGTCAGGCATCTCCTTGTCTACTTGCCCTTTCTAGTAGCCTCCATGACCCTGAGACCTCCACTTACTGGTGTAGCTTTTTTTGTTTGTTTGTTTGGTTGGTTGGTTGGTCTTTCAAGACAGGGTTTCTCTGTATTGCTTTGGAGCCTGCCTGGAACTCAATCTGTAGATGAGGCTGGCCTCAAACTCAAGAGATCTGCCTGCCTCTGCCTCCTGAGTGCTGGGTTTAAAGGCATGTGCCACCAATGGCAGCTCCAGTGTGGCCACCAATACTGTGGCATCACTATGAGTTTCTGTCACTGCCACAGTGACTGACCGCTCCCCCACAGCCACACTGGTCTCCACTCTTTGACATCTTTTGGCTTCTGTCTATAAGGATGGAGAGAATCTCTCTGAAACAGATTAGCCATCAATCTGTAAGGCAGTACAACTTGTGGCATGTCATGGGGAATTGGGTTAGAGCTGCCATGGAGCAGATTAGTCCCCAGCCTCAGGTCCCTGATGGAGTCTTTCAGCAACAGGAGCAGTTCCCAAGCTGCTCCCCAGACACACGTGATTCCCATTATGAGTTGCTGCTGTGAGATCATCCAAATGTCCCATAGACAGCATACACATGCAGGGCACTAAACCCCTCACTCAATTGTAATCACAAGGCGGGCACAGAGCCTACTCATGGGAGAGGTGTTGCTCATTTTTTCTTCATGAATATTTTATCTTTTAGTCTTCCTCACCATGGTGACATTATGGCATTCCTTTGCAGCTTGGGATGGGGTACAGTATTAAAGTGAGCTCTGAACACAGGTGAGGTCTTTGGATTCTTTCTCAACCCCTATGTTCCTGAATCCCCCTACTTTAAAAGACCAATCTTCACAGGTACATTTGTTTTAATTGTTTCTCAAAACCAGTAACTTTTTTAGGGATTGAAAATGATCTTTGCCTGCCATAGAGGCTCTTGCCTTTAATCCTAGCATTTGGGAGGCAGAAGGAGACAGCTCTCTGTGAGTTTGAGACCAGGCTAGTCTATAATGGTGAGTTCTAGGACAGCCAGGGCTGCACATAGAAACCCTGTTTTAAAAAAGAAAGAACAAGAACAAAACAAACCCATGAAACAACAAACTAGTTCTTTATTTTTTAAATTAAAAATTTCAATGATTTATTTATCTTTATTTTATGTACATTGGTGTTTTGCCTGCTTGTATGTCTGTGTGAGGGCATCAGATCCCCTGGAACCGGTTGGCAGACAGCTGTGAGCTGCCTTGCGGGTGCTGAGAATTAAACCCAGGTCCTGTGGAAGAGGAGAAAGTGCTCTTCAGTGCTCAGTCATCTCTCCAACCCAC